CTGCGGTTGGGTACTGGCCCCCGGCGCGGGCCTGTTCACGCTCACAAGGCGGCCTTAGCCAACCGTCCACCCTCGGCAGCTGCAACCAAAACCAAAGCGACAAAGTCAGCCGGCACTAAACCCTCTCAATGAGCGCGAGGGCAAACGCACCCATTACTATGCACAAACGCGCAGGAGTCGACGCTCCCCTCAACAAGCGCGGGGACGACGCCGCACCAGCTGACCCATCACCCTTGCTCGGGCTGCAGCTCAGGCAGGACCCACGGTCTGGACAGGCCTGGGAACCTGCTGCCAATGAAGAAGCAAGCTCTTAGCCGCACTTGCCATGCCACCCTGAAAAGGAGTGGACTAAGGAAAATCCCAAGTACTTGGCTCAGCTAGACGCCAAGCACAGGGACGCAAGAGCCCGCAGTAACTCCTGCACATGTGACACCTGCCCGCAGACAGGTTCGGCCCAACCAAGCTTGAAGGCGTACTGCAAGGCCCTCAAGCGGATGCCCGATGCTAAGGGAGCTAAGAGGGAAGATCACCTCGAGGCTGGTGAGATGATCTTCCTGCATGTCCAGAATGCAAGCTCCTGTATTGGCGGCTCACTACAAGGCCCACCGCCGCCCTAAAACCAACCCTAAACCCTACCAAAGCCGCCAAGGGAAACCACCTGGAGGAGCCTCCACCACCTTGGTGGTCCTCACGCTTGCCGTCACTTACCCACACCACACATGCATGCAATCCTAACCTTCTCGTTGCTTGTCTGTAAAGACCTGCCTCCATCTGTTCTCCTGCCCAGGTAGGCATGGTCCCAGGAGTGCACTGCATGCATGGCCGCACGTAGTGAAAGCAAACGACTAACACAGCTGACTCTGGTCTCATGCAGTAAGTCCAGGGGCACCGACTGGGTGCTTGCTCAAGTTTGCCTGGGGTGAGCTCGCAGCGTAGACTGCCACCCGCTCCAGACTGCTCACCAGCTTGGCCCGGCCCTGGGTGCTTAGTGTCCCTGCACCAAGGAAAACCCTCCAAAAGCCGTGGCTTTTGACCGTGAAGACAGAAGGGCGAGCACCCCAAACTTGAGCCACAATGTCCCCCCTCGTAGGGTGGGTCCGCGTCTGGCGTTGCTCTACCACCCACCACAGGGGGACGTACCCCCTTGGCGCGGTGGACAGTTCCCCCGAGGGCCGAGCCCTTTCCGGTGGGAGCTGGCAAGTCCCTTGGGTGGACGTATCCCCTTCGTGAGGTGGATTGGTCCCCCGAGGGCTGAACCCTTACCGGTGGGAACAGGCAAGTGGGAGTGATGGCCCGAAGAAGCACAGCTACAAAGCCTGGGATTCACCTGTTTGGGGTCTCTTCAGCACACAGTTAGAGCCCAGGACTGTTTGCAGACAACTACTTCTCCGACCACTGCGGTCACTCGAGCCAGACCTTGAGCCACAAATGGGATTTTCTCGGTCTTGCGCACAGAGTCGCGGCCCGTGAGGGCAAGTCTGAAAGCTGTACTCTGACAGCCAAAGAAGCAGCTTCCTTGTGTTAAGGAGCGCTCAGGCTAGGTCCTACTCTCTAAGACCCCCGACCTCCCAGTTCATGCTGGTGAGGTACGCGGAGGGAACTACTTCAGGTCCTAACACAGGTCCTACCTCCCGGTCCCTGCCAGTGAGGTTGAAGAAGCAGCTCACTCAGCCTGTAGGCCCTTTCCCTCCCACCATTAGGGAGGTTCTAGGAAGCCAGTCCCTCCCAGGAAGAACCAAGACCAGCAAGGGCCGCTTTCTCCAGGGTGGGCCAGACCCCCTAGTTGTGGAGAGCTTTAGGTGAGCTGGCCGTGCCCCGCTGCTCGGTAGGGAGGAGAACCCCCCAAGGCTTGGAGCAGAGAACCTAAGACTCACGAGCTTGGGTTGGACGCTGGGCGGCAACTGAGGTGGCCCTTGCGTTCTCGCTCTTACTAACAAGGGCCAGAGCACCCATGCCGCAGCAGCTCTGGGCACTCGGCTACCTCTGCCAGCCAACTCCACCCCAGTAACGGGCAGTGGAAGCAAACTGCCTTGGCTAAAAGGCTCGAGCAGCAGAGTGACCACAGGCCCCCTGTCTGCCGAGAGAAACCTCAACTCGGAGGGATCCGCCGCGAGGCTCTGCACGATCCGCGCCAAACTAACAGAGCTGTGCAAGCGGTGTTTGCACTGAAAGGCGAGGCCCAATCACGGCCAGGCCAAAACTGAGAGGGTCTATGCAGAGACAGTGAGCGCGCACTGCCTTCTGCACTGCGGTTGGGTGCTGGCCCCCTGCGCGGGCCTGTTCACGCTCACAAGGCGGCCTTAGCCAACCGTCCACCCTCGGCAGCTGAAACCAAAACCAAAGCGAAAAAGTCAGCCGGCACTAAACCCTCTCAATGAGCGCGAGGGCAAACGCACCCCTTACTATGCACAAACGCGCAGGAGTCGACGCTCCCCTCAACAAGCGCGGGGACGACGCCGCACCAGCTGACCCATCACCCTTGCTCGGGCTGCAGCTCAGGCAGGACCCACGGTCTGGACAGGCCTGGGAACCTGCTGCCAATAAAGAAGCAAGCGCTTAGCCGCACTTGCCATGCCACCCTGAAAAGGAGTGGACTAAGGAAAATCCCAAATACTTGGCTCAGCTCGACGCCAAGCACAGGGACGCAAGAGCCCGCAGTAACTCCTGCAAATGTGACACCTGCCCGCAGACAGGTTCGGCCCAACCAAGCTTGAAGGCGTACTGCAAGGCCCTCAAGCGGATGACCGAGGCTAAGGGAGCTAAAAGGAAGATCACCTCGAGGCCGGTGAGATGAGCTTCCTGCATGTCCAGAATGCAAGCTCCTGAATTGGCGGCTCACTACAAGGCCCACCGCCGCCCTAAAACCAACCCTAAACCCAACCAAAGCCGCCAAGGGAAACCACCTGGAGGAGCCTCCACCACCTTGGTGGTCCTCACGCTTGCCGTCACTTACCCACACCACACATGTAGGCAATCCTAACCTTCTCGTTGCTTGTCGGTAAAGACCTGCCTCCATCTGTTCTCCTGCCCAGGTAGGCATGGTCCCAGGAGTGCACTGCATGCATGGCCGCACGTAGTGAAAGCAAACGACTAACACAGCTGACTCTGGTCTCATGCAGTAAGTCCAGGGGCACCGACTGGGTGCTTGCTCAAGTTTGCCTGGGGTGAGCTCGCAGCGTAGAGACTGCCACCCGCTCCAGACTGCTCACCAGCTTGGCCCGGCCCTGGGTGCTTAGTGTCCCTGCACCAAGGAAAACCCTCCAAAAGCCGTGGCTTTTGACCGTGAAGACAGAAGGGCGAGCACCCCAAACTTGAGCCACAATGTCCCCCCTCGTAGGGTGGGTCCGCGTCTGGCGTTGCTCTACCACCCACCACAGGGGGACGTACCCCCTTGGCGCGGTGGACAGTTCCCCCGAGGGCCGAGCCCTTTCCGGTGGGAGCTGGCAAGTCCCTTGGGTGGACGTATCCCCTTCGTGAGGTGGATTGGTCCCCCGAGGGCTGAACCCTTACCGGTGGGAACAGGCAAGTGGGAGGGATGGCCCGAAGAAGCACAGCTACAAAGCCTGGGATTCACCTGTTTGGGGTCTCTTCAGCACACAGTTAGAGCCCAGGACTGTTTGCAGACAACTACTTCTCCGACCACTGCGGTCACTCGAGCCAGACCTTGAGCCACAAATGGGATTTTCTCTCGAAGCGTTCTGCTGTCGCGGCTCCAAGGCCAGGTGAAAAGAAGCTCCAAGCTACCTAGAAACACAGATCAACAGAACTACACTGCCTACGGAAGTCTCGCCCTGCCACCCGGAGGTTACAGAGCGAGACTGTTGCACACAGCGTCCTGGACCTTGTGTTGAAACCAGGCGACAAAGGATGCATGAGCCACGAATATCAACGGGCATGCAGGCAGGATGCATCCCAGGGCCTGGGGAGAAAGCCTAGCAGGGCGAAAAGTGCAAAGCCAGCACTCTCTTGACAGACCTGCAGCAAGCAGGTTGAGGTGTAGAGGAGAAGACCGCAGCAGCCCAGCGCCTGTACAAACCAGCTACCAGCAGCCTGTACACTCCCCGGTGGAATGAACCCGGTAAGGGCACACACCACCAAAGGGCTCATGAGCATTATAACAAGAAGACGAGTCGTTCTGGCTCGGCAGCGAGCTGAGTTCAACCAGAAGACTATGGGCCCTCGGATTCAGGACCAGCTCAAGGTGCAAGAACGACGCACAGGTTTCACGAACAAAGCAGTAAAGCAAAACTAGATTCAATGCCCAGAGTCGGGTAAAGAGGTGGCATTTCATCAACCAGCACTGGCATTGGCATTGCTGATCAAAAAAACCGCCTAACCTCAGACCACACTAGGCAGCACCCAAAAACCCCAAGGCGCAGGTTTTGTGGGTGCAAACATACTGCAACACCTGACTTGGCCGTTTAGGGAAGATTGCAAGGGCCCAGTGTCACGGCGAAGCATCAACATGTGATCGCAGGACTTGGGCAATGCAGGTGCAGCCACTGGCGCACACCGGTAACCATCTAGGGTGCGGTATTTTTTTTTTTGAAAAGTCAGGGCAAGCCCCATGGTAGATGTTGGCAGCGGCCCGGGTTCATCCAAACCATAAGGTAAGCCCTTGTTCCAGGCCCGAGTCGGGTGTATGGCATATTCATCAACCAGCAACGACATGCAGGCAATCATGGCAAAACCAGGTAAACCTTACTACCCGGCGGGGCCGCACCTAAACAAAGCAACTCTTACAGCTTTCGGGTGCAGCCAACAGCGCACACCGGGCAGGGTAACCTGGAGAATGATGGAAGTACTCCGGCGGTTGATTGATTTGTTGGCTCTAGCCATCTGCATCATGTAAACCGCCAAGGTGTGCGCTAATGCAGCCAATAAGGCGCAGAGCAGCAGTTGACTGTGATATAGGACGATGCGGGTGCAGCATGGCACACACGGCTCAAGGGAAACCCTAGCATAGAACACATTCCCCCAACCCGAGTCCAGGGCTACCATCACCGAAAGGAGAGGCGGGTCTGCTTGGAGGTATCCTTGCTTTTGGCTTTGGGTTTTCCTTTTGCTTTCGGCTTTGGCTGGACAGGAATAGGAGGGTGAGGAGGGTTAGTACTACCAACCCCAGGCTGCACAACCACTGAAACCTCCTGCTCCTTGGCTTTAAAGGACTCCGCAATGGAACGGCTGGTGTCGGCTTCAACCTGGGCCATGGATCTCGCTCTCGTTTGAGAATTAAGCTTACGTCCTAGTCCTTTGCAAGCGGACTGCAAAAGTGACGATGACGAGGAAGCACCAAGCTTAACCATGGCTAGACACTTCGAGCACATAAAGAAAGATCCCTTGTTTACCATGTCATGACTGCCATGGATGTTCCAGCAGGAGGGCACAGAAGCCGCTTTGTCGCGACATGGATTGGACAGTTTGCGATCGAAAACTTCAGGAGGGTTACACTGTTCCACATAAAGTTGGCAAACTGTGCACTGGATCGCAAAATTGTTGCTGGATTTGGCCTCACAATCCCGCCACACATGACCCATGTCGGGATCCGGATTGGCAAGAACCTCCTTAAGGCGTTGTTTTTTGTTGGGTTTTGGTGGGGTCTTAGGCTTAACAAAAGCAGAACCAGGTCTAACCAAGTGCTGGTGATCAGGGTTACCAAACACAAGAAAGTTGGAAGGGCAACGAACGGCCTGAGACGCAGCGCGATGTGGCATGGCTCGTTGTGACTGTGACTCCCGCTGACTGGCTAATCTCGCCACACCCCGTTTTTCTTCGAAAACCAAGGGGGCAGGATCTTTTTTGGAAGTCAACAAAAGCTCCACACGTTCAGCAAGAAAGGTCGAGATCTGCTGAGCAAGACGGTCCAACTCCTGCACATCATTTTTAAAGTTGATATCAACAAGGGTTGCAGCCAGCTTACCACACTTATCATCAGCTAAAGAATTGGCCTTCATGCGCCATAGCTGGTCTGCCCCAAACTCCTTTTCAAAAGCAGCAGCTGACTGGTGTGACCGAACCCAATGACAATCAAGATTATCAAGTCTCTGGGAGTTCTTAATGGCCGTTTGACAGTCACAGGTGACATCAGCAAAACCGTCGACATTCTCAGCGAGGAGCTGCAGCGCATGTGTTTCGCCTTCTGCAACCGACGAGCCGACGGGAAGAAACCCGGTGATGGAGGCAACGCAGGTGAGCTCGTCACCCTCCTTTTGAAGGGCCAGCAGGGCAAAGGCAACGATGCGCAGGCGGGTGTCAACACTATCCGGCCCGCCAGAGGCGTCTGTGCTGAACACATAAGTCGATGCACTAAGCTTGCTGGTAGTCGCCCATAGACCTTCGCGCTGCAAAGGTAGGGAAGACTCTGGACGATGCTGCTCCGTCCACTTTTTGGGCACAAGTCCCCTCTGCCACAAACTGTCTGAAGGCCACTTTTGCTTGAGCTCAGCCCAATGCTCAGGTGGATCGCGGTGGCGCCCAGACCAGTATCTGCACTCAAGGAGCACATGCGACCACGAGGCATCACAATGGCATAGCGGGCATTGCTGAGTGCCTCCATTTTGGTTATGAAGCACTGCTCCTTGCCACAAAGCATGTAGCCACTTCGTGGTGCGTTTGGCTTTGGCTTCACGTCGGATTCTGGCCCTATGGCTGGCCCAATCGACACCTTCAGCAAGGAGAGGGTCATCCACAAAGGCAGCAACACGGGCATGCCTCAGTTGTAGGAGTCTGGTTTTAACTCGCCCACACAGGAGTGCCTTAAAACCAGGCTCCTTCCAATCGCAGGTGAAATCCTCATCATCCCAAGTCCAATGCTCAAGACTTTGCCCATCGATCTCAAGTTGCATCAGATAGGCCTGTGCGGCCGCCATCGGTCCAGAGACGCATTTCCACGGATGGGGTGAAGCCTTGAGTCGGCTCCACGTGCTGCTCCAGGAAGTTTTGAGCTGTCCCCACAGGGTCCCTGGCCATCGAAGAAAAACCTTAGTAATCGTGGCAAAGTGTTGTGTCAAGATGGTGATGAGAGGGTCCTCAAACTTGCAGTGCAAATCGAAAAGCAGATCAAGGCTGCCAAGTTTGTGTCGCTGCAGCTGCTGCGCAGCACACCCTCGCAACCATTTCAATCGCTTCGGAGAAATTCCCTGAGCTTGATGGCCCCATGCAGCAGAGGCGAAAATACCTCCTTTGTACAGCCTCCACTTGTGGGACAAGGAGGGAACTTTGAGCGTTCGCTGACGTCCTGCTCTGGCCTGGCCCTTTGCTTGACGAGCCTTTGCAACTGTAATCCTGCGACGCCGTGCAGCAGAGTAATCAGTGCCTAAGTCGCGCGCTAGGGACTTAATAGGCGGGTCGTCAGGTCCTAAACGCTTTTTTAAAGATTTTTCGGATGATGAATCCGTGCAAACAAAACACGTTTTTGCGATGGACATGTGGAGTCCATCCCGCTGCAGGGCATGCTTCAACAAGTTGTAGGATTGAGCAGCACGGTGTGCCGTCTTCTCTGCTTGAGCGCCTTCAGTATCGACACTGACATCGTCCAACCAAGCCGTGATATTGTCAGCCAGCTTGCTCTTGTGCAATGAGGAAAGGCTCGGAAACAGTGCCAGTTTTGCAATTGCTGGCGCATAGGGGCATCCGGCCATGAGGCCGGATGCCCCGAAGCATCTGGGCGAGACAACACTGTCCGAAATGATGTATCTGGCTCCTCTGTAAACTTTCAGGGCGGTGTCGGCACAAAGCGGCGGAAAATTATGAAGCAGGGCCTGCTGGGCAACAAGTTCATGTGAGACGGATTCATAGAATGTTTGTATATCTATGAAGAGAACTATTCGATGAAGCTTTCTGGCCCGAGCCAGTTCTGCTTGCAGCAGACGCCTGATGCTGACATCAAGTGTGCTTTGGCCCGGCACAGCATGCTCCCAAGGGGCTTTATGAATGAATGAAGCAAGCCATCGATCAACTTCAGAGAATCTCAGTTTTGCCCACAATCGGTATGACGAACTACACAAAGCAATAGGTCTCTCGATTAGGAGACTTTTGGGTAGCATTGTTATCAAGGTTGTCAGCCAGTGCTCCGGCAAAATCCCATCACACTCAATGCGATGGAAAATTTTTAGTAAAGCTTCTAGCGCCTCATCCGGCAGAACCTTGAACTGTGCGTAACTCCAACCATCGGCTCCCCCAGCTTTGTTGCTGAGCTTGCGGATCCTTTGCTTGATTTGCTCAAGGCTCAAGGGTGGAAGCTGTGCCGCGTGTTCCCGGGCCACGTGCTGAAGCTTTGAATCGAGCTCCGGTAAAGGCGACGGTTGCGCCTTCCACAGTTTACTCCAGAACTCCAGCCTAAGGAAAGGCCGAAATTCCAACGGACTATCAAGAAAGGGCCTCTCGACCTTGGCTTCTGGATTGCTGAGTGCTCTGAAGAGGGGCCGCATGCCAGCTTTCATGGAGGACTGAAGCCAAGACTGATAGTCCGCACTTTTGTCAGAAAGATGCAACTTTCGAGCATGGCGCTGCTGGCGAGACGTGGCCGCAACCCAGGCGTCATCCGGTTCACACCCATTGAGCATGCCAAAGGCTTGGGCCTTCCATTGGTGAAGGGGCATGTTGCCAACATCAGCCCAATGAGTGTCAGCCTGAGCTAAGAAATCCTCCGGGTGTGTTAAAGGCTTGCTCTGGAGGGCCCGAAAATGTTTGGACCACGCAACGATGCGATCCCAGAAGGATTCAGCATGCCCTTTCCACAGTCGGTGTGGGGCAGACGGAGCCACCAGCGGCTTGACCTGAATCACAAAAGAACTGCCAGGAAAGCCATCTAAAATCCCACAAGACGCGGCTGCATCTCGGGACCAGCTCGCGAACACACTAGTGATCTCAGAAATTTGCTGGCTGCCCTCCCACACGACCTGACATCGGGAGGCAGACTGGCTGAAAGGTTGGTGTGCAACTTTAAGTTGTCTGAAGCGGGGCAGCTGCGGAACAGCAGTGGTGCAATCAGCTGCCAGCGAAAATTCAACAAGAGCATGTGGGCGAAAAGGTGCTGCCCAGTCAAGGCTCGGCTTAAAACAACCCGATAAGGAATGGCAAATCAAGGCATAGTCAAGGCAGGCACCATGGTCAGTCGTTGGTCCGCCTGGGGACAACAACAAGCCTCTAGCCTCTGTTGGGATGGAGGTGGCCTGCATTTCCTCAATCGGCAAATTAAAATCACCCATAACAATCCACGGCACTGCTAGACTCCGGACCGTGGCAAGCAACGTTGCAACGATGGTGCAATTGGGCTCGGCCTGCAAAGAGCAACCAGACTGCAGGTAGAGGTTGATGACAGCCAAAGTCCACCCTTTCAAGCGAAACTGATCAACAAGAAAACCACAGCCTTCAGCCAGGAACTCAAAAGACTGGAAAACATTGTAATGAGACGCCGAGATGGTGACCAATCCGCCGCGGACTCCCTGTTGTTTTCCTCTGCTGCCGGCTCCAAAATGGCTGGAAAGGCCTCTGGCCGTAAGCCACGTTTTTGATTTAGGGACGTCCTGAAGGAGGTGGGTTTCCTGAACACAAAGGAGGGCAGGCTTTGGGAAAAGCCCCTCAAGCCACCCCTTAAACTTAGGGCCCCAGGTGGTGATATTAAGTGAACACAGCCTCAAAGGCTTGGGCTGGGCCGTAGTTTGGGATTGCGCAAGTTGTTTGGCAGCTGCGATAGGCCATGCAGGGTCAGCCTCTTCAGCAAGGCATTCACAGATGCGGTGGCCTGCCCACCATTCCAAGGAGGTCTCATCAAAATTATCCTCAATGATCTCAACTGCATCAAGAAGCTGCTTTTCAACTCTGGCAAAATCCGTCCTGGCACCTGACACAAGCAAGCTTCCTATGAGGTTCCAATCAACTTTGGGATCATGTGGTTTGTGATGCAAGGCTGGGGCAGAAGACACAAGAGGCTCACTACAGACCTGACGTGAGTCCCGCCCAGTTGGATCTGCAGAGACATCCGGATGTTGCGGGGACACCTCTGATGAAAGCAGAGCAGGAGTGCTGCCAGCAGGGCGCACATCCTGAGTCACTAGATTGGAGGTTGCAAAGGCTCCGGGCGATTCGGCTTGATTGCCACAAGAGGTATCAACGCTGCAAGTCACGGCACATCGGGCCCTCCGGGGCCCATGGCCAGCGGCCCCCTCACCTCCTGATGTAAATTCCTCCTCCTGAGAAAAGCACCCATCGCCTGAACCCCGGAGGGCAGAAAATTGACATCCAAGAGAAATCACACGGGTACCCCCCGGACCCTGGCCCAGCGGGTCGCGACTAGCAGTGTCCGGGAGGCGCTCCTCGGACATCAAACAAGGGTGCTGGGGATGCCCCAAAAAGTGATTTATGACTGTAGACCCTGCCACACAGAGGGCAGGGAGAATGGGTTCGGGAGGGTCTACAGTAAGGCCAAAATGGCCATTTGAGGAGGAATGCAAAGCAGATTGGCAGGTTGCCCGAATGCTGCCAACAGGGCGCACATCGGGGTTTAGACGGAGCCTTCGGTTGTACCGGCGCCGGGTCCGGCGCGAAGCTGGAATTTTGCCCTGCAATATATTACAGGAAACAGCCCCAACATGTGTTTGCAGAACCTGAGCATGTAGCGGCACACTGGTGACATCAGTAAGTTCATCAGGCTCCGGGGCCTCAGCGCAATCAAAAAAGTATGAAGGACCCGACAAGGCTACCAGATCCTTGGGCTGCTTGCACGTTGTTTGGACCTTGGCCTCCCACTTGCATAAGCACCTCGGGCAGTAGTTCAAGACATCAGACAGAGCAGTGAGGATTTCGTCACAAGGCGCATTCAAGTGAACGTGGCAGCATGCCTGCACAAAATTTTTAACCTCCTGGTTCGAACTACGCCCTAAGACCGGTGATTGGCCACATCCAATGCACCAACCATCCGCCTCAAGACCTCTGAGTTGCTCCTGCAGGGCCTCGCTGGTCAAATTGGGGTTAGGGACCTCAGAAGGAGGGGATGCGCACGGGTTCGGGAGGGAATTGAGCCCGCACTTGGGCTTGCAAACATGCCACACAGGCTCCGAAGATGCAGTGATCCAACTCTTCATTGACACACACCGATCTCGGATAGAGCTGGCCGGAAGTTGATAATCAAGGGTCCGGCTCACTGGTGGGTTAGGGCCCTCAGCAAGAGGGAGAGCACACGGGTCAGGGCTGGGGATAAATTCAAGACAGCCATCATTGCTTGGCATCACATTCGGTCCCCCAGGACCCCGGGCCAGCGGCCCCCCCACCTCCTGATGAAGACTCCCCCTCCTGGTAAAGACCTCCACCGCCATGGGGGTCCTGGGGGCTCCCTGTAGACCCAGGGGCTGTATTGGAGAAAATTGATCAAGTTGGCCATCAGCTGATAAAGACTCCGGCACACTCCCAGCCGAACAGAAATTGGGGTTAGGGCCCTCAGGTGGAGGGGAAGCACACGGGTTCGGGCAAGGAAATGAAACCTCACTCGTGGTTGTCTCCTCCTCGAGGCCACGGGTGATTGAGGAAATCTCACACCCCCTCGAGGAGCTGAGGTCCCAGCCCTCATCCAAGGCAATCCCCATGTTCGGGTCAAAACTCGCATCCAACCTGCTGCCTAAATCGACCTCACACAGGCCTGGCAACTGCAAATTGGGGTTCGGGCCCTCAGCTCTGGGAAAAGCGCACAGGTTAGGGCTCGGAATTAAAACCATGTCAAAATCTTTGCTCAAGCACTGCCAAAAGGGTCCCGAGTCGGCCGTTAAACAAGCATTGCTCGAAACCAGCCTGACGCGGCACCCACTTGCCTGCACTCGGTATTCTAACAACCTGTGCACAGGTTGACCTGAAAGCACATAAGGATCAAGAAAGGCACGTTTTTGCAGCCTACAGGTGGTGCCACCTCGCGGGAAACACTGCTGGCACAAAGGTGGCGATTGTCTCGTTAGGGGCACGTGGCAGCATGCACAACACAAATCCTGACATGCAAACTGCAACGCCCCTTCTAACGCTCCCAATCCCATCTCCGAAACCCCAACAAACCACCCCTGCACCACAGAGGGCTCTGGCTGGCCTGCGCACCCACGACTGCGCTCGGCCGGTGTCCATACGCCACTGCGCACGCGGCCTGACGCCCGGAGGCACAATGCACACACCGACCCACAACTAGCATCAAACTGGAACTCCTGGAACTTTGGACAAGGCTGCTCTCGGCACAGCGTGACAGCACAGATGGGGCAACACTCTGCTTGGCTGAACATAAGCACTGGGCAGAGCTGAGGTGGCCGCACAACGGACTGATCCGACTGCAAGGTGCAAGCAACCAAAAGCTTTTCCAGAGGCTGGGATTCAAGAGCCTCGCCTCGACCTGACTCCTGAGCTGGCTCCACGCTGCATCCACCAACAAGGCAAGTACGGCTATGACCGAAAAGCGAAGAAACAACCCGAGAAACGCCGAAGTCAAGAACCCTAATCCCCGACCCCTAACCCTGCTGCGCACTGCGGCCCCTGCTGCGGGACCTGGTTTTGCCCTTCTCCCTGTCATCCTCCTTAGCGGCCTCCTGCTGGCTTGGCCCAGCTGGAGGAGGGCTTGTCGGCGCTGCCTTCTGCGCCGGTGCATCCACGCGCCTGCGCTTTACAGCTTCATCAATGGCTTCAACAAGGCGCTGCCGGTAGTCGTCAAGCTGATCAACATCCATGGCCTCAACCTGTTTGGCAAGAGCCTCTGCTGCCTCAGGCAAAGCCTCAGGGGCCGGGACCCCAGCAACCGAGGATTGCAATTCCCCTTGCAAGGTAGCCACCAGCTTTTGTCGCTCCTCCAAGGATTCATTGATGGACTTCATGTCTGACAACATGGTGGAGTACAGCTCTTTATGCTTATCAAGACGCACTTGCAAGGCAGCTTTGCGGAAAATAAGGTCTCTCAATTCTGCAGTGGCAATTTTAAATTTTTTGCTTGTTTCGCTCATGACCTCCTGAGGCGTGGGTGGCCGCTCAGGAGGGTCTTCCAGCAGCTTCTGGATGTCAGCTGGCAAGGCACGGATGTGTTGCTTACACAATGAAGCAAGGTCCGGAGGCTGCACCTCGGGCTCTTGGATGCCAAGCTTACATAGAAGCTCACGCTGCTCTTCGCTCACCGAGGCAAACAGGGACCGAGCAGCCTCAGCCTGAGCAGCCTCATCCCGGACTTCCGCTGTTCCAACTGCACCCTTGCCTTTGCCTGCACCTCCTTTGGTTTGCCTGAATAGGCCTGGCGGGGGCTGAGGGATCTTAGGTCTCCACCCCGCCTCCTCAATCTGCTGGCGCGCGTGCTCAGGCAAGGATTCCCAGATGGTTGTCAATGCCCTCTGCGCTTGGTTCTGGCGCGGGGGTCTCGGCGTCTTGGACTCGGGCTGCTGTGCAGCAGCGGGAGACCTCCACACTCTCACAGACGGACCCCATTGCGGATCCTGCGTCGTTCCCTGCTTTGGTCCTTTCTGTGGCCAGCGTTTGCCACACTGCTGGCAACATGGCCTGTGAGGGCCAATCCGATCCGTCCACACCCACGATCCGCAGCCACAGACGGTGTAATGCCTGGACATCTTGACTGGCATCACTTCCCTGTGTGGGCCTGCGCGCTCTGCGATGGCCTCCTTTCAAGAAGCCTGCAAGAAAAACTCCTCAACTGTACTTTTGCAACAAGTAAACGGGCAATTTTGCAAGGCCCAAATCCAAGAAAATTCTGCACAAGAAAACAAGGATTGGTTCACAAGCTGCAAGAAGAGTTTGCAAGCAGTTTCAAGTGTTGCGGCTCTATGGCGCTACTCTAATGCACTTCAGGGCTCTCCCTGGAACTGCCGCTACCCCTGCGCGCCCGTGCGGGTCAGCCCGCCTACGAGGAAACACAGAGATTGGTTTTGAGGTCTCTTGAGGGCCCACCCTTAGATACGGCCTCAGAAACCCAGCCACGACGGCAACAGCGCGGCGCTCGCCACTTGAACCACAACAGCTTGAGCCAAATGGGATTTTCTCGCGCACGCTTCGCCGACATGCACAAATTAACTCCAAATATTTTGGAGTCATCCGCCTTTGCGGGCATCGCCAAAGTGGCGGCAGAGGCTACTCCTACCCTGAGCTACAGGTTGCCTGACCTACCTGAGCTACTGGCAGGAGTGGGTAGCCACTTCCTGGGCGTGGGGAGCCACATCCCAGTGAAACAGGACAAAAGTCCTACAGGGAGGAAGCCTCACCCGAAGGGGAGGAACCCTGCACCCTGCAGAGCCTCCTGTCTCTGCCCAGGAGAGGAGAGGCTAGGAGGTCAAAAAACCTCCTGACCCTCTCCTGATACCCGGGCGTCAGAAATGGGAGGAGCTTTGGGAGATGCGAGGTCTCTCTGCTCCCTCGGGGTCCCCTCCCCTGGGCCGTAGGAGACCGGGGGGCCTGTGGGCGGGGCCTCGGGCCCCGGGGTGTGAGGTGGCGCCCAGGGGTGGCACAGGAGCCTAAAGCTCGGGAGTGGGAGCATTGGCTAGAGACCTGAGGGCTTCAGCCTGCCTCAAGTGGCTCCAGCTTCCCAGGTGAGAGCCCATCTCCAAGGGGTTCTCGTTGCTGTACCCACACAGGAAGCAGTGGAAGTTAAAAGCAAGCTGAAGCTCCCGCCGTTGTGGCGGCGGGCCCGCAGCCCGCTGCTGAGGAAAGCCCGGGGCCGAGGTGACGACCTCAGCCGAAGG